CTTTGTTCTTACAAAATGTGGCTGTTATATCTCTCTGCGACGATAACGCCGGCAGCCATGGGAGAGAGCAGACAAGCATATAAGTTCAATCTAAAAATATAACTGCTATCACTATCCGAAAATGAAATGAAATCCAGTGGATAGACTTTTCATTACAATAACTTGCAAAGAAATAAAATTAAAAAAAAGAATTTAAACACTATCACACAAGTAATTATATATTGCATATCACACACTTAAACAAGCGCCGTCGGCCAATACCAAGCTCGTCTCTGTTGCCCAAGGCGTTCGCAGGTTTTTCAAGGTCACTCCGAACCTTAACCCAACTGACAACAATGCTAGTTTTCTTGACCGTACGGACGATCGGACAGGCCGATTTTCATGGGGTGTTCACTGCTAGATGCGAATCTTCAACACCGATCTCCTGATATATGACATGTTGCACTAGACCAAAGCGTCTACGAGAAAACTCGAAATTAATCCTTTTGTCGCGCCTTAGCTACATTGACCTGAAAAATTCCTTATCTTCGTCCCACGGACGAACGGACATGGCGAATGTAAAAAGGTTGACATTGTCGTACGTACTTTGTCGAGACCTGTCTATCATTATCTCACATTGTAGAACGGGTGCAATAATTTTGGAGAAAAGTGGATTTAATTAAATGCACGCAGGTATGACCCAACACGGCTGAAAACGATCTTTTTAGCTCACAGACGAACGGACGGAGCTAATAGAACGCAGTTTCCACTGGCAGACGCGTCCTATTCATGCCGATCTTTTGGCATATGTAACATAAAGTTAGATCCTGCCGTTGGGAAGAAAACTTTTTTAATCGACATTTCGTCTGAAATATTGGAGGAGGTTCAAAAAGACGAACGGACAGGACGAAGGTAATTATGATATTTTCCCAGACGCGTCTCTGCAAGTCCGATATACTGGTATATTGCAATTAGGATTTGCTCCAGCCGTTTGGTCGGGGGGGGGGAATCGCCTCTTGTCGGCACTCCTAGGCCATTGTCCTTCCAATTCATGGTTTTCACTGCCATATGCGTCTGTTAAGACATTTTTTTCCCCCACCATCCCGACAATGCAATAACCCTACTGCTAACAATGCTGGTTTTTGTTTTCACGGTACATTCGATAGGACAGGCCAATTTTCATGGGGTGTTCACTGCTAGATGCGACTCTTCGGCGCTGATCTCCTGACATATGGAATGTTGCATTCGAACAAAGCATCTACGAGAAAAATGGAATTTATCCTTTTGCCGCGTCTTAGCGACATTGTCTTGAACAAGTTTCTTTTCTTCCTCACACGGGCCAACTGACAGGCGAATTCAACAGGGTTGACACCCTCGGACGTGCCGTGTCAAGTCCTGTCTATGCGGCTAAATATCGCAAAGGTACGCAAGTAATTAAATTCCATATCGAAACAATACATACATTAATGTATACATAAATGCACACACATACACAAGCGCCATCGGCCGATACGAGCGTCGTGTCTGTCGCTCAAGGAGTTTGATTGTTATTCGAGGTGATCCGTAACCCTAATACTTACCCTACTCCTAACAATGGTGGTGGGGGGTTTGCATCGTGCAGGCCCTTGTTTGGAGTACTAATAAATTACTCTCTTAATAATAATAATCTAACCTAGCCAGTGTCAAGTTTTCATGACAACTATACATGTAAGTTTCGAATGTCTGTACGTTCTAGAGTCCGTATAAGCGGTTAACAAACATCATTTTTGGTTACGTTTCGATAGTCGTATTAGTATTTATGTTGGAACGAGCAGGCAGGCGATTGTTGCCTTATCTCTCAACAGAGGACCCAGGTTTGAATCCCGACATGGAACAAATGTTCATTTAATAAATAAAATAAAAAATAAGTTAAATAAAATAAGATAAACATCGTCAAATAATTCTCCTTTGGCCCTTGCTTGGAGTAATAATACATTACTCCCGTAATAATAATAACCTAACCCTACTACTAACAATGTTGGTTTTCTTCACAGTACGGACGATCGGACAAGCCGATTTTCATGTTTTTTTAACTGCTCTCATGACATAAGGCATGTCACACTAAACCAAAGCGTCTACGAGTAAACTCGAATGAATCCTTTTGCCACGTCTTAGCGACATTGCCCTGAACAAGTTCCTTTTATTCGTCAAACGGACAAACGGACAAGGCGAATTCAACGTGGTTGACACCTTCGGATGTGCCTTGTCATAACCTGTCTATCGGTATCTCGCGTTGGAGAAAAGTGGATTTAAGCTAACTGCAAACTGATATGACTCAGCGTGGCAGTAAATTAATAGCAAATGGTGATGTATCAAGGAAGGAACTGTATTATCAATTCAAATGAATATGAAATTTAGCATTGCAAGCGAGGATGTACATATCTACACAAACACTCTTTATAATCCATGTAAACTAAGGACACACATTTGAATATTGACCACAACATGAAAACTATAGACAATATGATATTATGGCCAGCTGTGACTCCCATTATCTTGCGGAATGAAAATAATGAGAAACATTATTAAGCCGTACATGAACTGTTCGAACTAAGAGGATTGGTGCACTCAAACATAATTGTGGTTCTTTTTTTCGGCTCAGAAATATCTTTAACTATTTCCAGATTAAATGGCCAATCACATTATGATTATCCGTTCTCTAATTAAGGCATCAGTATTTAATTGTTACTTCATACAACAGTATGGCAGGCTGGTGATTCCATACTGTTCATAGACGTGTTTAGACAAAGCACAGTACTGTTATACTCAAGCATCAAAACATGTCTTGTTCTGTTTTTAAGTCTGCATAAATTGCTAATGTCAAGAACATTTTATATATGACATGAACCTATTCTACTAAATCTTAAATCATTATATGATTCATGAAATCTGAAACTGATTTTATTTTTGGGCAACATGGCCGAATTTGATTTAATTGTTTCAATTAGTTAATATGTTTGAAAACTTTTTCATAAACTTTGATCTAAGAATTCAACAAACGCTTTTACATTGATTATCTGTACTATTCGTTAAACAAAAGAAAACAATAATGCTAAAAAAAGACTATCAACTATGTCGTATCATAGTCAAAGAAGATATCTTTACACACACATAATCAAATATCAGTACAATGAATACGCATAACTGTTGACAAAAAATGACTGCAGACATAATGGACAATGAAGACACGTTTATACAGACAGAAAAAATATCAATACAAACTAAGGATGCACACAATTATTGAGAAAACATGAAGAATGGGGACATTCATGATCACATACAAAGAAAATAAATTTACACATCTAATCTAAATGATTAGTGCAGACAAGGGACTCACACTGCTAACAAAATCAGGGAGACTGAACATAGTACATCATGACCAAGAAGGACATATTTCCACATCTGAACAATCAATACAAATCAAGGACGCACACTACTGACAAAATCATGGAGACCGTGGATATTGGTAAATCATGGACAACGATAATCACATTTCTACTCGGAACTATCAATACAAACTAAAGATGCACACAAAGTCACAGTGACCGTGGACATTGGTGCCTAGTGAACAGCGAGGACTAGTTTACACATCTAGTCCAGTCTGAACTATCAATTCAAGTAATGATATGCACTTAGAACGTCATGGACAATGAAGACATGTTTACACATCTAGTCGGAACTATCAATACAAACTAAGGACACACACTCTTGACAATATCATGGAGACCGCGGACTCGGGTACAACATGATCAACGAGGACATGCTTACATATATAGTCTAGTTTGAACTGTCAATACAAATTAAGGATATGCAATATTGACAAAATCAGAGAGACCGTGGACATTGGAACGTCATGGGCAACGAAGATGCATTTATACATGTAGTCTGAACTATCAATCCAATCTAAGGATGCACACTATTGACAACATCACGGATACCATGGACATTAATACCTCATCAACATGGAATATGCATTCCCACATCTAACTATCAATAGAAATTAAGGACGCCCACATTTATTCTGAACTATCAATATAAACTATGGATCCATGCTATTGACAAAATCATGGAGACCATGGACATTGGTACATCATAGACAACGAAGACGCATTTACACATTTATTCTGAAATATCAATACAAACTAAGGACACACATTATTGACAAAATCATGGATACCATGGACATTGGTACATCGTGACCAACAAGGACATGTTTACGCATCCAGTCAGTCTAGATTATGTACACTATTCACAAGATCACGGACATTCATAGTTCATTGGCAGCGAATGCGTATTTATATTTCTAGTCTGAACTGTCAATAGAAACTTACGATGCACACTACTGACATCACAGAGATTGTGATCACTGGTACGTCATGGACAACAAAGATGTATTTACACATTTAGTCTGAACTATCAATACAAAATAGTGATGCACATTGTTGGCACTATAATGGAGACCATGGACATTGGTAGCCCATGAACAACGATGACACATCTACACATGTAGCCTGAATTATCAGTACCAATTAAGGACCCACAATATTGACAAAATCACGGAAATTGTGGACATTGTTACATCATGGACAATGAAGACTCGCTCACACATCTAGTCTGAACTTTCAACGCAAACTAAGGACGTACACTGTTGATAGTATCACAGAGACAGTTGACGTTATTAGGTCCTCAATAACAAAGACGCATTCACACATCATGTCTGATCTATGACTAGAAATTAATGATGCACATATCTATTATGAACTCTCTTTACAAACTAAGGATGCACGATATTGACCAAATCACGGAGACCATGGATAATGGTATATCATAGATAATAAAGTTGCATTTACACATCTAGTCTGAACTATCAACAAAAACTAAGGACACACAATGACAAAATCGTAGTGACCGTGGACATTGGTACATTATGACCAACGAGGACACGTTTGCACATCTAGTCCAGTCTTCACAATCGGTACGACCGTTTTGTTGTCCAAGTGGTTAGAGCATCCGCCTCAAATGTAGGGGGTCGTGGGTTCAAACCCCGGCCAAGTCATACCAAAGACTTATAAAAATGGTACTAACAGCTGCCTCGCTAGGCGATCAGCATTAAGTGGTTAGTGTTAGCAATGGTAGCCCTGGTGTCAGAATAATGTGACTGGGTGGGAAATCATGTAGTATATCAGTGGCATGATTCCACAGTGCTAGACATCACTGTCAACTGCCACACTACAGACATCATATCAATATGACTGAGAAATCGATAAAGCTACATTAAAAATGCAAATCACACACATACACTTAACAATCAATACAAATTAAGGATGCACACTACTGACAAAATCAAGGAGAGTGTGGTCATTGATTGATGTCTTTGAAAACAAAGACATATTTACACACCTAGTGTGAACTATCAATAAATGACAAAATTAGGGAGACCGTGGAGCATAGACAACGACGACAAACTTACACATCTAGTCTGAACTATCAATACAATCTAAAGACGCACACTATTGACCATGTCATGGAGACCATGGATATTTGTAGCTCATTAACAATGAAGATGCATTCACACATCTAGTATGAACTATCAACAGAAAATAAAGGACGCACACATCTATTCTGTACTATCAATACAAACTAAGGACGTACACTATTGACAAAATTGCAGAGACTGTGAACATTGGTACATCATAACCATAAAGGACATGTTTACAAGTCTAGTTGAGTCTTAACAATCAATCCCAATTAAAGATGCAAACTATTGACAAAATCAGGGAGAGCATGGAAATTGATAAATCATGAACAAGGAAGACGCATTTACACATAAGGACTGAACTATCAATATAAACCAAGAACACACACTTTTGACAAAATCACATTGGCACTACATGAACTACGATTACGCTGGTAACCTAAACTATCAATACAAGCTAGGGACACACACATCTAATCTGAACTATCAATACAAACCAAGGACACACACTATTGACAAGTCACTGAGATCGTGGACATTGGTATATCATGAGCAACGAAGACTCACACATTTAGTCTGAACTATAAGCACAAACTAAGGACTTATAATATTGACAATATCACGGAAGCCGTGGACATTGGAAGATTATCAGCAACAAAGACGCATTCACACGTCTGGTCTAAACTATTCATAGAAGCTAAGGACGCACACAGCTAGTCTCAGCAATGAATGCAAACTAAGGATGCACACTATTGACAAAATCAGAGACAATGGACATTGGTACATCATGACCAACAATGACATATTTGCACATCTATTCTAGTCTTAACAATCAATCCAAATTAAGGTTACACATTGCCGATAAAATCACAGAGACTGTTCATGGACATCGAAGCCGTATTTACACATTTAGTCAAAACTATCAGGACAAAGTGCACATTATTGACAATATCAAAGAGCCCCTGAACATTGGTGCATCAACAAAATTGCATTGTATAGTTAATATTCCATATCGTGAAGTTTGTTCTGTGTGAAGAAACTTCAAATATGCCATTTTTTAAATAAAATTGTTGGTGTACAGTACCTTTTGTGGTAATTGTATACTGACAATTTTGAGGAATGAAGAGTCAAGTTGGCCATTGAAATTGATTTTGCACTTACTGGTCAATAAAAACGTAATATAGATGCCGACATATTCAGAATCAATCTACATACAATGTGACATTTTCAAATAAACAGCTGTGTGATTTGGTTTTCACTTATTATATTCATTTGAGAAATCATTGGCGAAAAGCAAGGTAACGGTGCCATTTTGCACATTAGGTCTTTATTTTTGTTGGCTAGTGTTTTCTGGAACAGGGTGAGATCATTCGCAGTGAAAACTGTATTCAACTCCTTCATGTTCCTACAGGTCAAAACACATCCTCAAAATCTGAGTCACTCTTCAACATCCGATCAAGCAAAACCTAATTTAAAAACAATCAAGTTTATAACTCTTGCATCAGGTGAAATTCGGCCTGAATCAGATGATTCCTTAAAGCCATTATTCAACGACAATTAGCCTTTTACTTAGTACCGCAATACTACTAGTATTACTATGATTGCTATTCAACGACAATTAGCCTTTCATTTAGTACCGCAATACTACTAGTATTACTATGATTGCTATTCAACGACAATTAGCCTTTCATTTAGTACCGCAATACTACTAGTATTACTATGATTGCTATTCAACGACAATTAGCCTTTCATTTAGTACCGCAATACTACTAGTATTACTATGATTGCTATTCAACGACAATTAGCCTTTCAATTAGTACCGAAATACTACTAGCATTACTATGATTGCTATTCAACGACAGTTAGCCTTTCAATTAGTACCGCAATACTACTAGTATTACTATGATTGCTATTCAACGACAATTAGCCTTTCATTTAGTACCGCAATACTACTAGTATTACTATGATTGCTATTCAACGACAATTAGCCTTTCATTTAGTACCGCAATACTACTAGTATTACTATGATTGCTATTCAACGACAATTAGCCTTTCACTTAGTACCGCAATACTACTAGTATTACTATGATTTCTATTCAACGACAATTAGCCTTTCACTTAGTACCGCAATACTACTAGTATTACTATGATTTCTATTCAACGACAATTAGCCTTTCATTTAGTACCGCAATACTACTAGTATTACTATGATTTCTATTCAACGACAATTAGCCTTTCATTTAGTACCGCAATACTACTAGTATTACTATGATTTCTATTCAACGACAATTAGCCTTTCATTTAGTACCGCAATACTACTAGTATTACTATGATTGCTATTCAACGCCAATTAGCCTTTCATTTAGTACCGCAATACTACTAGTATTAATATGATTGCTATTCAACGCCAATTAGCCTTTCATTTAGTTCCGCAATGCTACTAGTATTAATATGATTGCTATTCAACGACAATTAGCCTTTCATTTAGTACCGCAATACTACTAGTATTACTATGATTGCTATTCAACGACAATTAGCCTTTCATTTAGTACCGCAATACTACTAGTATTACTATGATTGCTATTCAACGACAATTAGCCTTTCATTTAGTACCGCAATACTAATAGTATTACTATGATTTCTATTCAACGCCAATTAGCCTTTCATTTAGTACCGAAATACTACTAGCATTACTATGATTGCTATTCAACGACAATTAGCCTTTCATTTAGTACCGCAATACTACTAGTATTGCTATGATTGCTATTCAACGACAATTAGCCTTTCATTTAGTACCGCAATACCACTAGTATTACTATGATTTCTACTACTACTGCAATGATGATATTACATTTTCTTTCCATTTCTTGTGGCCTTTTATCTTGAGAAGGGTATAGCTTCTTTCTAGTCCATGGGAGCAAGAAATGTATATCCTAATTGATCATGTTCTACAGCAAAATTGTACCCATTAAATCGAGGAGTGTGCCTTTTATTTTCAAATGAGAATATTCAAAATCTTCTTAATGCTATAGGAAAATCAATACTTGATCGAAATGTGAATAATCGCTTGAAAAAATCAGATATATTTATTTTTGTTAATGTAGGTGAACTCTGTCAACTTCAGTAATTTTCATTTTGTACATAGATGATCATGATTAGATTTTATGCTCCACAAATGTAACATTTCGTGCCCAAAACATTCTAAAGGTTATTACCAACATCTAAATGTTACTTATCAACATCTTACGATTAAGTTTAGTAGAGAAATTCTTGCTTCTCGTTGTTGGCTAGCGGATGTAGAGTTGTCCTAATTCATCTTACTTACCTCATGTTGTAAGAACAATCTAATCAAAATCAGATCTGCGCTGTCCTTCACGAAGGTTTGACGACGACCACTTAAGGGTCATGTAACCTTTGAATTAAGCCAATAGAAATGTGGCTTTTAAAAATCGGAAAATAAATCAATTCGTTTGGTACATATTCATGATCTTCATCATCACTACTCAGTCTCCAAACGTAAAGATATAAGACTTAATCTGATTGTTTGATAAAATTAGCAATTATGGTAATAATATAGATTAGCAAAACATGCCTCCTAAGCGGTTGCTGTCAGATCTCCACGTAGGACAGCAGAGATATGATTATAATCAGATTGGTCATAACATGTGATCCATTTAGGCAGGTGCTGTCAGTGTCTCAGTAATTTGTTTTATTGGACCAGTGACGGGTTGGCCACTGTGGTGCGTCCTTGGGCAGGTACGCTACTCCAGTTGTATGATCATTAAATAAATTACTTGTGCTGATGTACCTTAAAATGACCAACAAATCAAATCATTTTTGTTTTGGAATGTTTGTCATTGTCGGAGACGATATCAGTCTCTCTGTCTCTAATGCTGTCTCCACCTTAACAGCTTGGTTCGGATGTTATATTCTTTATTGTACCATCAACTCTTGTTGCAACAACCAAGCTATTGTTCATCCAATTTTTTCGGAATAAAGAATATGTTGTTTTAAAAATCACCTCTATAATTTATATGCCTAACCATAACATCTCTCTCTCTCTCTCTCTCTCTCTCTCTCTCTCTCTCTCTCTCTCTCTCTCTCTCTCTCTCTCTCTCTCTCTCTCTCTCTCTCTCTCTTCGAGTAATAATCCATGGCCCACAGGGCTATAAATAGTTTGTAGAATAGCAAGAAAGCCTTTGCAAATGCTAAATGCTTGCATAAAGACTGTCTGTATTGATTATTCTTAGACTGGCGCCAGTTTTCATGGATTCTGTAGTTGGGACGAACTTCGAATATATAGACCCATATATGAAGACAATATACCTCATGACAATCAAATGTATAAACTGAGGAAACTCACATTACTATGGGCATATATATAATATTTTGAAGCTTATTTCTTTAAAAGTTAAGGTAACGGCAGTTTACTGATAACCAGATACACAGATCAGTTCAAAATTCAAACACTAACTGTATGCTTTAACTAATTTCCAGTCTTTAAAATGAACTCTGTTTTGTGTAGTGTGAATTGCTTTATTCTAAATGAATAAATTAAAAAATTTTTATTTGCATTGTTCT